AGCGGTTGTATCTCTGTTGAGTGTTACAAGTTTTCCTTTTTCGCCCTTCGGTCGAAATATTTATGTCTGGGCTATACTTGAGGCATCACGGCATAAAGCAGACGTGCATGGCGTAAGGTAGATACGTGAGATAGGTAATGCCGTTGTCGGCGTTTTCATTCGATCTTCAGGAATTGCGTTGCCGCACGTTCACTGCCTTGTTGATTCCCATCTGTTCGTGAAGTCTTTGCTAATTTGTACTCAAATATTTATTCTGGAACCCGTAATTGTCAACTCACAATTTGAATGTACCGTGTATCATGTAGGTATCGTGATGATACTTGGTGAGCATAATGGTTCCGTTTGGTTGATAAGAAAGCACACGCTTTGACATGATCCAACTCATTAAAAGGCTTTGCAAGGCATTTTAAGTGTTTTAAAGCGCACTTAAAGGCGTTCTGAAATATTGTTCTGTGTCGTGACGGAAACACTGGAGCATTCCAATCAGCTACAATTTCAGCGAATACATTCGTTGCGTTTTTTCACCACCCATGAGCTACATTTCGCACGCGTCCATGCGTCGATTGATTCAGCAGCTGAATTTGCATCGATTACAAGACGATGCTGCAGATTATGTCCTCACGTAACTGCTAGCAACATCAACGCATTTCCATAGTAGCAAAGACACATTGTCCATGCAATGGACGGACTACTGGCGTATATGGTCTCGTATGAGCAGACTCCTGTCAAAACTAACGCGCAGGCATCAGTCAGCGATAAGGTCATTAAAACCCTGCTTGCCAGGAAGTAACTGGTGTTGAGTCCTTGCCACTTTACGTGCAATGGCAATATGGATTGCAAAAGCTCACAAACTTCCCAACTACATTTGATTAGTTTATGCACCTGTTACAAACGTCGTTACTATCCTGTGAATTTTGTCGTGGCCGATTGTAGAGTACGAAGTCCCGTAGCGGAGCTGGCCCATCGCACGTGGTAGCATCGATTGTTTCACTCCAGGATTTGGAGACAGGTACCTTCGGAGAGTGCTGGCACCTGGGCGAGGAAAAAGACGCTGCCTGGGCTTCAATTGTGATCCTAACGCTACAACGTTCGAAGAATGCGTTTTGGAATGCTGTTCCCGAACGGAACCTGTCCTGCAAGCTTAACACCCGCCGGCCGGGATGTTGCTTCTCCTCTCCGGAAGGGGCAAGGCCGGCGGTGTGACGGTATGGTAATTGTCCTCTCGGGAAGGGGCGGGACCGGCGGTGTGACGGTATGAGGCGGTGTGACGGTATGATATATTGTCCTCTCGGGAAGGGGCGGGACCGGCGGTGTGACGGTATGAGGCGGTGTGACGGTATGATTATTGTCCTCTCGGAAGGGGCGGGACCGGCGGTGTGACGGTATGGTAACTGTCCTCTCGGGAAGGGGCAGGGCCGGCGGTGTGACGGTATGATATATTGTCCTCTCGGGAAGAGGCGAGACCGGCGGTGTGACGGTATGAGGTGGTGTGACGGTATGACATATTGTCCTCTCGGGAAGGGGCAGGGCCGGCGGTGTGACGGTATGATATATTGTCCTCTCGGGAAGGGGCGGGACCGGCGGTGTGACGGTATGGTAATTGTCCTCTCGGGAAGGGGCGGGACCGGCGGTGTGACGGTATGAGGTGGTGTGACGGTATGATAAATGTCCTTTCGGGAATGGGCAGGGCCGGGGGTGTGACGGTATGATATATTGTCCTCTCGGTAAGGGGCAGGGCCGGCGGTGTGACGATATGACAATTGTCCTCTCGGGAAGAGGCGAGACCGGCGGTGTGACGGTATGAGGTGGTGTGACGGTATGATAATTGTCCCAGGGCCGGGGGTGTGACTGTATGAGGTGGTGTGACGGTATGATAATTATCCTCTCGGGAAGTGGCAGGGCCGGCGGTGTGACGGTATGATAATTATCCTCTCGGGAAGTGGCAGGGCCGGCGGTGTGACGGTATGAGGCGGTGTGACGGTATGATAATTATCCTCACGGGAAGTGGCAGGGCCAGCGGTGTGACGGTATGAGGCGGTGTGACTGTATGATAATTATCCTCTCGGGAAGTGGCAGGGCCGGCGGTGTGACGGTATGAGGCGGTGTGACGGTATGATAATATCAGGGTATGATGGTATGACGGTGCGAAGGCACTTCCTCTTACTATGAAGCCTAAATTAGGCTATTACCACAAAACAACGGAGTCCTCGGCACCTATTAAATCCAGCAATGTTCAGTGTGTTCTTTTAAAGTGAGCCGGTTACCTCTCCGGTCAGATCCACCTCAAAATGAGTGTTCCACATTGAATCATATTTGTATGGGATTTGAAGCTGAAATAGCTCTATTGAAGATCACTTGGTGCGGTTCACAGCCTTACACTTCCTAATACGGTAAATCCCTTGAGCTTCTGAGCTACACGCCCGCGAAGATGTGCGGATTATTTCGTGCAGGCTATTTGGAGGTCACCCAGGTATCAATGACGCCTTAATATCGTTATTACAATCGTCCCATTCCTTGTCCATGAGGCGATCAGGGCCGAGACAAATATCACTGTCGAGTCGTCCATATCTGTCTTCGTGGGCACGATTTCCAAATCGAGCGGCCGCCAATTCACTCTTAATCAATGTTGTGCGAGGAACGATGATGCAATCAAACAGGGGTGTACTGAGGAGCACACCTACTAAATAGAGAAGTTGTGTTGTCTACAGCAGCCTTTTCCATTTCAAAGTATACCAATAGTTACAAGTGAGCTTATTTGTCATGTCTGACGCTTGCTTCAGCGTCTTCATACGTGGAACATTACCGTTAATGTTGAGCGTAGACTATCATTTGATGCCTGGTAAGTGCCCAAAAGTGCTTCTTGTTGCCCATGAACAGCAAGCAACCGATTTTTCACTGAAGTGGTCATGCAGGCCTTCGGTGATGAAGTCATACCTCAGTCTCTTGACAGGATCTGAGATCGAGATCTGATCTGAGAGATCTGATTCGCTGTCTCATTGATGGTTTTTTTTAGGATGGCGTCCCCCTCGCCTGGTGAAAGTGAGAAGAGAAATTCACCTTCTGCCACGGTCGCAGTAAATTTAGCGAAGAAAATAGGTGAATGTTATCCCTCGACATAGGAAGGTGCATTCTAGTGTTGACGTTAAATATTATTCCGAAAGCGTTGCCGCGGGGGCTGAATCACGCTCACGCCTTTCCCAACGGCGGAGAGAGGTGTTCCCTTTCTTTTATCGGAGTATGCAATCATGTACTGACCAGATAGTCATATCTGAAAGGCTTGGTGTTGGAAAAGGTATTAAAGGGTGCGACAGCCAGGGGACACAGGGTGGATGGTTGCCCCAGTAACTGAAAACAAAAACGTAACACCTTTGTGATGAAGTGTGATACGTAACTTAGCAAACACATCCCGACCTGAGTGACCCAATTAAAGTCATGAGATCTGCCGGTACCGTGCCATCCAATCACTTATTTTTTCTTTTTTTGCGATTCGATCTTATTTGTGTGCTGTCGGCTGGTAAAAAAACACTAGCATTGCTTCTTGTGTCATGCGCTTGTGAAATGAAATCCGTTTGATGACGATGAAATTGCAAAGATGGATATAGTTATAGGTTTGCGGAAGAAAATTATATTTTCTTCGTCTTCACAATCATTAATTTTGCTCTCATGTCAGAGTCAAGATTGTAATTTTAAATGCGCCCTGCTCCCAGCTGCGCAGTGCGAGTTCCCTTCGGGCAGATTGTCGTCTGGATGAACTTAAGAAGCGTTAGTCTCCAATTAAACCCGCACAGCCAGCAGATGCCTCAGAAGTTGGTTGTATGTCCTGTTAAAGGCCGGCTCGGCGACTCCTGTGATAACAGAATTGCTCAGCCTTCTACAAAGGCAACGGCGTCGCTCACGAATGAATACGATGGGGTATGTTGAAAGCATTTCACTATTTTGTGACTTTCCTTTTGATTACGAAGAAGTACACCAAATTTATGTACCCTTTTTCTAAACACATATTCTTCGTTGACACGATCAGATTGCTTTCAATACGATGCGCTTTCTAAAGACCACTTTGAACACAAAAGTAATCCACGCTAGAAAGTGCTCATGCTCATGTGGTGCTCATGTGGGGCCAGTTGAAATGCAAATGGTGATGTGTAAATAAAATGAAAAGTACATGATGCAGAAAACGCATGGTATGCCATTGATAGCTCACATATATAAAATGGCATTGGTGATATCTTCGGCCATCACCGCCGTGATGAAACGATCTCTAGTGATCTAGAAAATGCAGTTTACGGGACGCGACCGCCTGCAATGGATAACACGTGTCCGCGATGGCGGGGGTGCAATCTTTTTCTAAACGTCTCCGTTTCACCCTGGATGGCATTGATGAGTTTCGCGCACGCCAGCGGCCCCAGTACGCCCGAACCCTCACCCGCGAGGAGCTGGGACGATGGCGAGAGTCCCTGGCGGCTCACCTGACAGCCATGACGGGCGGCTGCACGGCCCACGACCTCGCGCGCCATGACATCAGAGCGTTGTCGTGGCGCGGCCCAGTACCTCACGGCGGGTGTGACGTGACTCGCGGCGGTGGCGTCTGGCCGTGTACCGCGCCCCAGCCGGCCGGGTGCCAGCTGGATGTGTTACGGCTGCCATGCCATTGTAGTTGTCTGTGCACGGGCGCCTGTGTTATGCGTTTCATGGCCTGGTGGCACTTCATTTCCTCCACGCCGGTTGCATTGTGGAGCCCCGAAGTGCAATACGTTGGGGCACATTAGGCGCATTGTTTTTTTTCATCACGCCAGGTGTACTGTGCAGTTGCGGGGACTGCACTCTTATACACCGGCTTCGATCGGGCACGGCTGCCTCGCGGTCCGCCGACGTGGCCCGACCGACCGGCCGGGCGGCCCCTGCCTGCGGGATCTCTTCCCCGCCGCCGGCGGGCCGACTTCGACCTGGCGCTGGCCCGGAGCTGACCTGGCGCTGACCCGGCGTGACCGTCACGCCGGCAGGGCTGCGGCGACGACCCGTGCCTGCTGCGCACGCGGCGCGTGTGGTGTCCGACGGCGCACGGCTGCCGCCGCGCCCGCCGGCCGGCCACCAAGCAGGTGTGCGACATGGCCTTGTGTCACCTGACGACGCGACTGCGGCACTCGATGCGCGCCGTCGCCGCGCCGCCCGCCGCCAACTGCAGCTGGCGCGTCGGCGCCTGGGGAAAGGTCAGAGGCGGGACGATTGCGAGCTTTCGGGGCCGGCCATCCCGCCGATTGAATTGCCTTGTGGTGACGAAGGAGTCTGCCTTTTGCCGCTGCTCTGCCGCGACTGGATTTGAGTACGACTGTTTCGGAGATGACGTGTCGCCGGCCATTCCCTCCGGTAAACCGACGCTGCCGCCGCAAAGCGCGGCTGTCCGTCCGGCCCGCCGTCAAGGCACCGTCCGGCGTCCGACCCCTGCTCCGTGACGTTATTTCAGTGTAACTCGCTGTGCGGCGAGGGCCAGATGAGCCGATCGGTACTCTGCATTGATCCCAGCTCCGATCAGAGCGTGGAGCGGTCTCGGTGCCCGCGGCCCGTTCCCGATGCGTACACGCTGTGCACTCAGGTCAGTGAAGGTCGCGGCCCAGCCAAGGCCGCTGGCGCGGCGCCTCATAAGGACCAGTGGTAGTGTCGGGTGTATTCAGCAAGATCGTCAAGTGGTCCGGGGGGGGGGGGGGGAAGGGTGCTAGCTCTAAAGTTTGCAAGCGCTCGCGGACGCCGTTGTGTACATTGTCAGTTCAGTGCTCCAGGAGCACCGGATCAGGTTTGTGTGGCGGCAGCCATGCCTTCAATGGAAGTAGCTTTAGCAGGAGGTGGAATGAACCTGTTGTAACCCTGTCCAGGACTGTTCATCTGCGACGACCGCATGCGTCGTGCAGCGACAGCTGTGCTTGCGATGGCGGGCGGACTGGTGGTCGTCCCACCCACGCTGTGATGACCCGTGCTGACCCGCGCCCACAGCCGTGCCTGCAGTGGGAGGTGGACGAGTGGTCGCCGTGCTCGGTGCTCTGCGGGCCCGGCCTGCTGACGCGCCAGGTCAGCTGTCCGGCGGCCAGCCGCTGCGACCCCGAGCGCCGGCCGCTGGACTCGATGCCCTGCTGGGAGCGGCCCTGTGCTCAATGGCAGACCGGTAGGCTGCGCATGACGCCCGTCGTGGTGGGGCCGCCCCTCCCCTACCGCGCACTCCGCCCCAGAAGCCGGCTAGCCCTGCGCCAATGGGAGGCCACAAATCAGGCTTCGAAGGCCACAAATCAAGCCGTTGCGCTTGGCTGCCTAGGACCGTTACAAATAATGTGTGGACTGCGGCAGCAGCCACGACAGCCGGCCAGGCGCCCGGCCGGCGACGGCTTCGCGTCGTCTGGGAGAGCGTGCCGAGAGACGTTGTCGCCGCTATCTGTCAATTAGCACGAACACGGTCTAATTACACGCTGCGACAATTGGCGAACCCTGATTGGGGCGTCTTGTTAGCCGGTTGCCGAGGCTGGACTTTGGACGGGTGTCGTGCTGGGTAGACGGCTGCGCCTCGGCTCAGCGGCGTGCTGCGCCTGGAGAGGGGCTTCCTCCGAGACAGACCCTGGTCCGTGGTGGATTGTGGGATGGGGGCGTGAACGCATCAGCTTCTGAGGTCATTTTTCATGACCTTAGAAGAAGATTGGCTAGACATTGGTGAACCGATCCCTCGCACTAATACGTGAACCTGTTAAGGTAATTATTGTCGCCTTGTTTTCCACTAATTGTACGTGAGCCTTCCCGTCTTGCGATTGACGTGATCTTGAAGATGTGCATGCGTGCCCGTTTGGGTGGTTGGGTGCGTGGATTTGGGCGAGTCGGTGGGTGCGTGGGGGGGGGGGGGGAGGGGTGGGAGGGAGGCTGAGTGTGTCTGTGTTCGAGGCAAGCTGTCTTGCGGATGCACGCCAGTGGTCACACCATATGTGGCCAAGCCTTCGCGACATATAAGCTAACAGAGGTTGTGCGGTGAAATGCTAGGTGAAAGGAATGCTGGACGTGAAAGTGTCCTTCTGCTTTAAGCGTGCATCAAGCTATCATTGCATGCAATCGGCTGACAATCAAACTTCGCAAATTATGACCACGCGTTGATAATTAGAAGGGAATACAAACGTCTATATAGCAGGGCATGTCACCGTCTGGTCTCATCTCGACAGCGTCTACGTGTGTGTGTGGTGTTCCCGTCGTGCCAGACCGGTAGCCTATATAGCGCCTCGGTGCCCGCCTGCGGGCGACGGCGGCGGATGCGCGCTCCACCCGTCTGTTGTCAGTCCATTGTGCGCGCCAGGGCTTATTGCCGCCCGAGGGGCTATGATGGTGCGCCGTCGTCGGGAACCGTCGTGGCCGACGCCGGCAGCACCGCACGTCACTGGCCGGATGTCCGCTGCCCTCGGGAGTCGCAGTCCTGTCCGTACCCCGCCTCTGGGGTCCCCGCCCCGCCCGAGTCCCGCCCGGCGCGTGTCCGTCACCGCCCGGTGTGGCAACCTGTGAGACCGCCCGCGCCTTCCTCAGGCGAGTGGAAGCCGTGCAGCAGGACGTGCGGCGGCGGCTACAGCATGCGCACGGCGCAGTGCATCAGCCTGGAGACGGGCCGGCCGACGTCGGGCTGCACGGGCGTCCGGCCGGAGACCAAGCGGCCCTGCGGCGAGACGGCGTGCCCGCGGGCTGCCGCCAACGGTGGGTGACGCGCGCGCGCGGCCGCGGGCCGGCTGAGGGCATGTGCGGCGGTGCAGCGCCGGCGAGTGTTCCGCCGGGCGGTGTCACGGGGCAGCCAGCGACGGTGCGGCAGGGACGGACGGCACCATACGGCGACGCGTCCATACCCGATCAGCGGCGGTGCGGAGCAAGGCTCGTGGCGCCGCACGGCCAGCTTTGGGTTTGCTAACGCCGCTTACTACCGAGTCGTAGTGTTCTTGTGTATGTTCCGTGATTTTGTATTGTTTACTTGCATTCACGTTCTCGGGTATGGCGCTTTCTTAAGTTATTCCATCGCCGGCTTTACTCCCGTCATAACTCGTACCTCTGTCAAAATTCATACAAAAATTATATCAATTTTCTACCATTTTTTCATTCATCATTCACCATTTCATTCATTCAAACATTGTATCACCAAACGTGATCTGTATTCGAAATTTGCATTCACCGCATCAGTATGGTCGACTGTCAAGTGATGATTGCGGATGCCATGAGGCATGCTGACACGCCAGATAATCATATTTGTTATTGGTGCTGATCACTACATGGCCAGTGAGGCGGCGATAGTTGCGCGACGTTTGTAAGAGGTCATGAATGTGTGGGGCACCTTGAAATAGTCCGCACAAGATCGTGGGGCCAAGCTTAGAAAGAAGACGGTTTTAAACCTTAAGTGGGCATGACTGTGAGCTTGACTGAATGATCTTCATAATGGCTGTCCGGGTTCAAAATTCCATACATATGTGGAACACTTTCTTAACGTGCGCAGTAACAGCGAGTGAGTACAGCACTTCCGCTTAGGGGAATTTCCAATAACAAATGACGTCACTCACCTAATAAAGCGGATAGTTTCTTGGGACTCCGCCTAGCCTAAACTGATCTAACTTAGTTTAACCTTTGCCTTGAGGTCAAACTGCAATGTGGGGGGGGGGGGGGGCGGGGAGGCGGGGTTTGCTTCATACCCAGCTGACTCATCGATCAAAGACCAAAATTATCTTACTTTTAAAGGTAAGATGATGCACTTTTTCTTTGCCTGGTTTCGTTGGTATTGTATGGTCTATAGAGTTTGTCATTAATAGTCGGTTTTATTTTGGAAGGCGGAATCAAGCTCAACCAGCGCAAGCATCTTCCGGGGTAGCGTCTGAATAGCTTGATAGTGACCGAGGTTAGTGCAGTGGTGCGTCTGCTCGCGATCCAACGGCGAAGCGTATGGCGGCAATGCTGCAATGCTGTAGCATAGCAGACGGAGGCAACATGATTGGCAGTGGGTTCCAGAAATGCTACGAATGTCTCATTAAAATAAGGATTGACAGTCCAAAAAGTAGCGTCAGTGCGTCGCTCACAGCTTTTGGAAATGAAATGGAGCGTATGTTTGTCCAGCCTGAGTGTCCAAAGAATACCCCAAACCATGATCCCTTATTGCATGCAGCGTCCAAAGTCCGTTCCATTGGCCATAAATAAAAAGTGAGACCAGACAATATCCTACGGCGAATGGGTCGTCCTCTTGGCATAGATTATCGCGTGGCTGTGACAAAATCGGGTTGCCAATCCCCAGGCGGCAAAGGCTACGCGGCTAACCAGTTACTCGGTTAGGCAGACAGCAGTAAACAGAATGTCGGACGAAGTGTGTCATTTATATTATGCAGTTCGTCTTCCAGACGATGAGACTATGGCTGGTAAATTTGGTTCTGCCATTATGCAGACACTTGCATTGATGTTCAAAAGTGTGTGGTCAAGAATGCACCGAGTGGAGCAGCGTCGGGCGTAAATACCATTACTAGCTCTAGCGTTTGCCAGCACCGATTGGCGTTCTGGCTTCACTACATGTACAATGCTTTAACATTAAAACTGAATGTTTTATGAAAAAGAAGAAGCAAGCACTTGTATCAAGTATGCTATGTCAGAAACTGGACCTCATAGTACTTGGCAATGTGAGCTTCCATTTTCAATGAACTTGGGCCGGATCATCATAAGGGCGTGGAAGCACCCCAGCGGGACGGGAGAACGTCGCCAGCGGGTCGGTAAAACGCCTCACGCCATGCTTAGGAATTACTTTAGCAAAACTATGCTGTGCTTCATGTGTAAGAATAATCCTGAACTAGAAACCCGATGGAATGTCACAGCAATAACAAACGCTCGCGACATAGTCAGCACCGGCTTTTCCCTTCCAATAGGTGGCAATGTGTTTTAACTCGTTGGCAATATTGTCTCAGACTGAGGGCATCGTCGCCAATACCTCAGTTCAAACGCTCTGGAAAGCAAGGAGATTAACCTTTAACTCTTCTGTGGGACGTGTGGGACCCCGGCAAATCATTGCGAGAGAACTGCTGGAACGTTTCATCCCTCCGTTGATGTCAGTTTTGACAGCGCCCTGTTTGAGCCCTGACTATGACAGTTAATCCCCCCTTCCTTTGTGCTTTTGATCGCTGAGCGTGGCGTGACGAGACGCCCGACTTTGGTGAATGACTCAACCACCAGATGATCGCTTCTCAAAGAATCCCGATCTATTTCGCTAACTAAAATTACCGGTAACTGTCACTCCCCGCCAACGATTTACGAGTTAACGTGCGGCGTCCCTTTCGTCTTTCCTTGACACTTGTAGGACATCCTGCTGCTGATTTCCTGTGGCAATGGTGCGCTCTGGGTTTGCCTCAACCTATCGAAGCCACAATGTAGCTCGCTGAGAGTAATGCCCACGATTGGGCAATGAACCATATGGGACCGTTACTGATAAGCAGGACGACTGAATATTACAAAATGCATTTAATAAACCTGATTTATGCCCAGAATCTCATCGTGATGCGTATTTGTGTGCATATCAGCTTTCCAAATGTATGTTATGCAAATCTGGTCCAAGCTAGGCCACGTCATTGCTTATTCACAACGTGTAGGGTGAATGCGCGTAAAAAGCCATTCCCTGGACGTCCATGAAAATTCACCTAAGATGACCACACACGACGCAATCTCTATCGGTTCGGCGACAGTACTGGTGGACTGCATATGTCTACGAACATTACGTTGAGTGGTTTCTAAGATTTGGCTTGGCATGCTGTTGACCTTGATTGACCCGATGTCGAATCTCAGTTAACTAGTAAGGTTAGAGGTAAAGTATATTTGATTAGTTGTAGGCACAACTCGGTATTTTAATCTTAGCATGTCCAGATTTCTCAATGTTCCGATGAGGTTCATTACATACCTCCGATAAACGCCGAAAAAAAACAAGAGAAAGGAAACACGAGAAATGAGAAACCTCCATAACTCTTATAGTCGGTGAATTTGTTGGCTGTGCGAACTTTATTCAGATACCTGAATTACTGTCAAGTCATTTTCCTGGAGGGGGTGGAGGGCTGAATTTGGATTTTCCCACCGACATTTCCAGCTGGGCTTGCGTATACGTGTGATGTTTTTCGCTTCATACCCCAACTGTGAAGACAACGTGTGAGCTAGCATGAGGCAGTTATTATTGAGTTATGCTAAGAAATGGATCAGCACTGATCATACTGACAGATCAGCATTTAGAGGCGAGACCTCCAAATATTAACACGCTTATGACGGGGGCACTTAACTAGTATAAATTCGCTGTATCATAGCTATCGTTCACAACATTCATGTATCAGTCCAAATAGCTGACATTTTCCACTGCAAATCATCCACGAATGCCTCGCGACTGGTTGATTTGAACGGTGTATTCGACTGCAAACACATCTGGCCACAGCAACTTGAGGCGCCATTGAATTACCCGTTGAACTTTGCGCACCCCGCAGCGATCGAAGCGCGGTGGATACGAAGTGCGGATCCTGCAGGATCAAAGCGCAGTAGATACGAAGCTGTCCATTTCATATTAGTATTTTGAAGCAGATCTGATTAAGTATGGATGGCTTTCATTCCGTGAGAACCCCCTATTTAGTCGCTATGGCCGAATTTAAGGGAATTGGTCCATAAAGTTCGGTGTTGCCCCGGGATATTCAAACGACACCCGAACCCTTCCATCCCCCGCTGAATCAATATCAACCAGCGGCCAGCAGGTCATCAACATGTGGAGTCACGGCACGGTCTCGACGCGGGACGATTTGAGTTCATCTGTTAGATGTCGTCTTGAGAAACAGCTGTACACATGCCTGCCATAGTCCTTATGGTGTCATATCTCTGCTCCTCTGAACATCTACTCGGAAAATTAGTTTGCAGAGCTCTCCGTGCTTTGGTGAACTTTGTCGTATGTTTGCCAATGGCAGACATATGACTAGATAAGAGAAATGGATCGTGGGACCACATCTCTAAGTCACGCATCCTAGAAATGGAATATGGGATCTGTGCTGCAGTGTTGTCGAAAGATTCCCTGCATAGAGAGGATCCGTATCGAAATTGTTTGATTAAAAGCATCAAATGTTTGATAAAAATATTTTTGGATTCTAAGCCTGTAATACATATGTCCAAAGTATCCCCTGGGGTCTTGAATGCTTGTCCTAGTTTTGTCAATAGATCCTTCGGTGTCCAGCATTTCTCGGGCATCTTGTTTATGAGTCTTTCAAGTTCAGCTTGTAGAGATCAAACTTTTGCCAAATAATGTCAGGCCTGACCAGAACCGGATTAAATGTCCCTTTTCCAAATTAAAAGTAAGAGTCCCACACCTGTATGGGGTTTTGAACTGAAACATCCGTCTTGAAAATTATTATTTGTAACTCACAGCCCTGCCCTTCTTAAGACCTAAGCCTCTCTAGTTTCTGAGGTACACGTCCGCGAAGATGGGGAGACTATTAAGGGAGAGTATTTCAAGGTCGCCTTGACATTCATGACGTCATAATACCATTCGAATCATGCCATTCCATATAAGCCATGTGATGACCAAGGCCAATCAAAATATGATGTTCGGATGGTTCACATTTGGTATTCATGAGCACGATTTGCATGTATAAAGGCCGTCAGTTGACTCCTAACCAATATTATGCAAGGTGCGACGATGAAATCAAACAATTACGTATCCATGA